CCATACTATCCAAAACAATCTATAGATTCAACACAATTCCTATTAAAATACCAATGGCACATTTCACAGACATAGAACAAATGTTCCAAAAATTTATATGGAACCAAAAAAGATCCCGAATAGCATTGACAATCTTGAGAAAGAAGAACAAAGTGGGAGGGATCACAATACCTGATATTAAACTATACTATAAGGCCACTTTAATCAAAAGTTTGGCACTGATGTAAGAACAGGCACATAGATCAATGGGACAGAATAAAAGAGTCCAGAAATAAACTCATGCCTTTATGGTCAATTAATATTTGATAAAGGAGGCAATAAATGTTATTGGGAGAACTGGGTGTTTTTGCAAAAAAATGAAACTCTACCAGTAACTCACACCATACACCAAAATAAACTCAAAATAGATAAATAACTTAAATATAAGTTGTGATACCATAAAAGTTCTAGAAGAAAACACAGGCAGTGAAATTTCAGATATCATGTATAGCAATATTTTTGCTGATATATATTCTAGGGCAAGGGAAACAAAGGGAAAAACATAAACAAATGGGAGTACATGAAATTAAAAGACTTCTGCACAACTAAAGAAACCACCAGCAAATGAAAAGGGAACCAACTGTATAGGAGAACCTATTTACCAATGATACATCAGACAAGGGTTTGATCTCCAAAATACATGAAGGACTCATATCACTCAACACCAGCAAGACAAAGAATCCAATTAAAAAATGGGCAATAGATATTTTTCCAAGGAGGACATACAGATGTTCTATAGACATGAAAAAGTGTTCAATATCACTGGATATCAGAAGGGTGCAAATTAAAACCATAATGGGATACCACCTCACACCTGTCAGAATGGCCAACAAGTGCTTGTGAGGATGTGGAGGAAAGGGAGCCCTAGTACACTATTGGTGGGAATGCAGACTGATGCCACCACTCTGGAAAACAGTATGGAGATACTTCACAAGTTAAAAATGGAATTGCCTTTTGACCCAGCCATTCCACTTCTGGGTATATAGCCAAAGAATCCTGAAACATAAATTGAAAACAATATATGAACCCCTATGTTCATAGCAGTGTTATTTATAATAGCCATGATTTGGGAACAGCCTAAGTGCCCATCAGTAGATGAGTGAGTATATAAAGCTATGGTACATTTATACAATGGAATACTATACAGAAGTAAAAAAAAGGAAAGAATTCTTATCTTTTGCAACAGGATAGGTGGAACTGGAGAATAGTATGCTAAGTGAAAGAAGCCAGTCAATGAAAGGCAAATGCCATATGACCTCACTTATAACTGGAATCTAATAAACAAAATTAACTGATGAGTAAAATAGAATCAGAGGCACAGAAACAAGAATCAGACTAACATCTGTAACACGGGAGGGGGAGGGCGGGACTGGATGAAAGAGGATGAAGGGATTAGTCAAAGAGCATACAAGAGGGACCAATGGCTGTGAACAATGGTGTGGGGATTGACTGTGGGATGAGGGGCTGGGGAGGGTGTGGAAAGGGGGGAAACTGGGACTGTTGTAAGAGTATACACAATAAAAACATTCAAAAATGAAAGAAAAATATATTTATATAATGTTTGAAATACACATTTACAAGTTTTTTCATCATTTTACATTTCCTTATCTAGATTATAAGATCCTTTGAAATACTTGATACAGATCCACTGATATACTTGAAGGGTCTTAGGTATCTTTTACATATGTTTTTTAGAATAATTTGCATGGTACTTATTTTTAATGGAGATTTATTTTGCATTCATTCATGCAGCCTGGATTGATTTCTTTGATTGTAACTAAAGTCAGAGCTATTGCCTGAGCAAAGTTTCACATGTTAGAGGTACTGAACAAGGCAGAGCGCTTAAATTTGGGATTCCTGGTCCATATAAAATTGTTCTGTAACTATATCCTAGGCTTTGTCCACAAGGTCTTGAAGCTTACCAGCTGGCTTCCTATCGGTTTTCTCACCTAAGTCCCAGGAGGGATTTGGATAGAGGCTAAGGCACTGTGGACATGCACTTGGAAAATGAAAATATTTTGTTTTCCTTTTTAAGATATTTCATTCTGTGTATATTTAAATAAATACATTCCATAATATAATACCTCTGTAAAACAAAGTCTCTGTGTTATGGAGTTTTATGGAGATGATGTCTTGATTGAGGCATTGCAGGTCTGGACAAGAACCTGGCAGCCTTGGAATTGGACCCATTCCTCTAAGTTTGGTTGGTGGACAGATCTGTGGCTGCAGTGAGTCAGAAGTCAGGAGGAGTCAGAGATATGAGTAGTGTCAGAAGCCAGGAGTACAATTTCTTCAGTCTCTACTGCCCGTACTCTCTAATTTTTAACCTCTGCCAAATGATAACTTTAACAAAAATTTGTTGGAAAGTCATCATAGCAAATAACGCTAGATGCCATAATAATGATAATACATTTATTATTTCTTCAGGGCTAACTCTGTGACAGGTACTGTACAAGTGCTAGCTTAGTTCTGGCGTACTCCTATAATGTAAGCAGTAGTATTTTGATTTTGCAAATGAGAACTTTGAGGTTTAGAAACAATGAGTGACTTGTTCCAGGTCCCAGTGGTGGTAATTGGTCTGCAGGACCTCCAAGGCAGGCCCACCTGACTCCAAAATTCATGTCCTTCATCCTTAGAGTCAGCCAACTGACCCTTGTAACTCACTGCCTATGGCCAGGTCAGCCTGAAGCTTCTACTAGAAGGCCAAACAATGAATGCTGTCCTTTGATTGGTGTATAGGTAAGGGGGAAGTACTCAATGTTCTGGATTCTAACTAGTACAAATCCTTATAAAAAGAAAATTTATAATAATACAAGAAGAATAAAATCTTAATTGAGGAGATCATCAAGTAACGGAGTGTCCATCTAGAAATCATGTGCCTATTTTCTAATTCAGGAGGCAATTGTACAAGTTATTTTTCTGACACTTTAGCATCTTCAACATAAAGACCATGAACATGAGGGAAGGAGGTGAAACTTTGCTCTCACATACTTTTCTTATGCAACGAAATGCTCCCAATTGTTTATGCCTTTCAGGAAACTTAATCACCACCACATATGCATTAAGATACAGCTTTGTATTTTGTAAAATAAACACTCTTTCTTCTCTTGTATTTTTGAATATTTGTGGCTAGGATCCATTAAGAAAATAGTAGCTCCACTTTTAGATTTTGATCCTAGAAAAATACTAACATATGAGTGTGCAATGATAGGTATATAAGGATGTCTCTTATAACTTTAGATGTAATTGAAACATACTTAAGTCAAATATCCTTCAATGGAAGGATCAATATTATGTGTAATAGAACATCAAAGACAGTGATATAAATATATGGAAATGGTTTTAGAAGTTTTATTAAAACATTGCTACATAAAAAGTTGATAAATGCAGAATGATATGTAAAATTTGAGCCAACTTTGGCTTAAAATCCTAGTGTGTGTGTGTATGTGTGTGTGTGTGTGTGTGTGTGTAATGTTGTGTCATGTGGTAAAATATAAAGTTCTAGAAAAATTCTAGAATTATACTAAATTATTCAAAAGTGGGTGGGGTTGCAAGTTGTCAGGGGACTTTCATTTGTGATTTATATTATTCTTATAAAAAAATGTGTACTGGGTCCTGGCTGGTGTGGCTCAGGGGATTGAGTGCTGGCCTGCAAACCAAAGGTTTGCTGGGTCACTTCCCAGTCAGAGCACATGCCTGGGTTACAGGCCAGGTCCCCAGTGGGGGGCACACGAGAGGCAACCACACATTGATGTTTCTCTCCTTCTCTTTCTCCCTGCCTTCCCCTCTGTCTAAAAATAAATAAATAAGATCTTTAAAAGAATGTGTATTGGTTTTGTTAGATATAAAAGAGTGTTTGTTTATAGTTTGCTTGGCATGCAGTCCTTATGATTTAGAATACAAGTTAGCTTTCTAGTCTAATTTGTCCTAGTTTTAGAATCCTATTTTAGTTATAGATTTATGTCCTTGATTTATTTTCCTCTCTGTTGGTCTGTATCTCATAACTTCTGTGAGGAAGGCCCTTCACTTCTCATGTCCTGGTTCCATTATGTTCTCAGTTCTAATTCCAGTGCTCTTATAACACTTTTTTATGTACACACTTCTTATTTAATTTCCCTTCTCAATTCTCATTTTGTGTTCTTCCATTACACTACATATCGTAGTGTGCCTTGCAATAAACTTACTGATATGTTTATATGAGCCACCTATGAAATTGAAAAGTCTGAACACTTATTTATTTCCTTTCAGTTAGGTTACATTAGTAGGCGCCCCATTACATTTGAAAAATTGGTAACATTTTATTTCCATGAAATTTCAAACAGTTCCAGCTTTTCCGTGTATCATAATCTGTTATTGAAGAGTCACCCTTACTCTATGTCAAATTGCCAACATTCTCAATTCTATATTGTAATTTCTGTTTAATAATTGCATTTGCTTCTTCTATTCTCTTATATAAACACATTTCAAGAGGCTGAAATGGAAGATGACAGTCCAAATAAAGTATCTTAGGCATTTGCAATTATTTCCTACAATGATGCCAAAACATTGTCACATACAGTATCACATGTGACAAATTTAATAAAGTCTTTGCAGAGAAACACACATTTTTTATAGTAAGGTTTCTGTAGAAATCAGTCCAGGTGGCTTCCTTCCAGGGGAAAGAGAGTGGAATCCCAAGCTGATTTGCAGACAAGAGTCAACCAGGAAGGGAGTTTTGCTGTGTCACAAGTGACTCGTCCCCGGTTTTGAAAGACAGTGAATCATCTCCCTGTGAAACAAGAGATAAGTGGAGGAAAGAGCTGTTTAAAAATTATTTTACAACTATTTCCTTTGGAGCTCTGACTTTGTAAACTGGAATGTGATTCAGAATAGCTTCCCTTGGAATCCAGTGTTTGTCTTAGGCGTTTTTATTACCTCTTTCACTCAGCTCATCTCACTTCTTCCCTCCCTCTGTCCCACAGATTTACACCGACTGGGCCAACCACTACCTAGCAAAATCGGGCCACAAGCGGCTGATCAAGGACTTGCAACAAGACATTGCAGATGGAGTGCTGCTAGCCGAGATCATCCAGATCATCGGTAAGCCCTGCCCTCCGAGAGAAACCTTGAAAGCCTCTGCTCACTCCTTTTTGTAAGATACAATTTAAGTTAAGTGCATAGAAATTTGGTCCCTGTGTCTCTGAGATTAATGTAGCTCTCCCATGAATTAATTAAAAATGTTTTTGTGAGAATGTTTGAAAAGGCAGTTTAGCCATACTTTTAAATGATTAGAACTATATCTTTCATACACTGGAGTGTCAGAAATGAATGTTTCATTAAACCATATGTCTCCCATGTGTGCATATCATTCGTTAGAGCAACTTACACACTCAGAGATTCCTTGAAACTGTATCCTGACCCAGCAGGGACAATTGTGAAAGGTTTCATGTCAGCAGTCATTTGGCACAGGCTAAAGAATTAGCAGCAACTTCCTTCTCACTCACTCACTCACTCACTTTTTTTGTCTTTAATTTGCCTGACTTGTGCATGTGGAAGTGGTGGCTGCTAACAAGTGTGTCCTCTTGTCACAGGGCTTGGGAGATAGAGTGAATGTAGAAGCAGCATTTTGCTGGTGTTGGTTTTTTTTTTCCCCTTTAGTCTTTTTTTTGTGTTTCACTTCATTGCTTAAGCATTATTCTTTTTTATTCTCTTTTATTTCTTGGCTTTAGCAAATGAAAAAGTTGAAGATATCAATGGATGTCCTAGGAGTCAATCTCAGATGGTAAGAATCTTACTTATTCTAAACACAATGCTTATCTTCACTTCAAGATTTCACTGCATTTGTTAGTGGACTAGAAAATTATTTTTGCATGTCTTGCTTGTTGTATAAGAAACCATTTGATCACATTCTATCATATGTATTTTTGGGGTGCAATTTATGAACAACAGATAGCATTACAATTGAATATGTATGACTCCTCAGTAAAATTTGCCCAGGTTTTTTATCACATCCTTGACATCTTTTTTCATTTTATGTCTGAATAATTTAATTTAAACTGATTTTGGTGCTAATAAAACCCATTTCCAATTTTAAGTGGAGCCTTTTTTTCTGGACAATTGGCTTGAAGAATAGAACTTACCACCCACATTCATATATATGTATATATGTGTGTGTGTATGAATGCACATTTATATTTATATATATATGAACATTTATATTATGTTTTGTTCTTTACAAAGTCCAATAAAAACACATGGATTCTTCAGCACTGTTGGAAGTGGCTCTAAAGGCATGTTTCTGGAAGCTTGCTGAGCAGTGACTAATTGTGACATATGAGTCATAGCCTTTTCCAGAAAGTCATCAATCTAGAGGTCTTCCTCAGCCTTCTCTTTTCTTTACCAAATGGTAAAACTTTTAAGTTTTATAATAAAATAATAGGTTGATAAACTGCTGAAATAAAAACTTACCCCTTTCTTAATGAAACAGCCACAACTTAATGTCGTAGGACAACTGGAAACACAAAATCCTTTAACTGAACTTACATTAGAAGATATAGTCAAGAGTGACAGCTAAAATCCACAGTATGAGGTTTCCTCCAAAACTCTTTTTAGCACAGAATAGACATTTGATATAAACTTTATGAGTTCTTAATTGTCAGAAACAGGAAAAATGAAAAAATGAACTTTTTTGACCTGCTAACCTACTTTATTTAATATGAGAAAACTAAAATCCAAAACGATAAAAGGAATGTATTTTTAAAGTGATTAACTAGAGCATCTGTGTGTGTGTGTGTGTGTGTTTAATAAGCACTCTAAGGAACTGGTACAATGTTGTGAACTCTGAGTAGCTGTTGTGAAAAAAAAAATCACTATGAAGAAAGACTCTGTAAAATACTGAAGTTTTAAGTGTAAGGAAACTTCCTGATTTAATTACTCTGGGCACAAACATGACTCGATGGAAATTTTAATTATAGTTGTTTTCTGAAGTTTTACCAAAAGCATTTATGGTGCCTTCACACCCTGCTACAGTGAGAGCTACATGGTGTTGGTAAAAACACATAACCTTTCTGAGCCTCAGCTTTCCCATCTACAAAGTGACCCCCAATCAGGATATGACACCGATGTATAATTATGGACATTTTTTACTACCTAAACTGATATGGCAATGCAGAATAGTATTGCTACAAACTTTACAAAGAGCACATCCATGAATTAACACCTGCTAAAAATTTTTAGGGCTTTAATATTTAAAATGCGTATAGTCCCTGTATATCATATCTTATGTTTCTTAATCCCAATGACACTGGTTTTGCTTCCATTATTTCAACCATAAGATAAAGGTGTTAGATACTAAAACTCTTACCTTCTTGCTATCATTCCAATTTTGATTCTGATTACAGGAATCTGATGAACAATCAAGCTAATACTTATGACAGAAAAAAAGAACAAAACAAAAACCTCCACAGCTTATAACTGGATAGAAATGCAGTCCTTAGATAGTTATCTGAAACATCTGTACCCAATATTCTATAAGTCTATAAAAATATCCTCATGAGTATCAGACTCTATTAATTTTTTATTACTTCCTACTCTTTATTAGCCCCCAAATGTCATCTAACATCTAGAATGCATGTTATGTTGATATTTCTGCTTCTGATAAAAACTGAACTAAAAAAAAACCCCAGAAGACAGAAAGCCTGAGAAATGTAAATGTTATGAAAAGGTAGCTTTTCCAGCCAAAAAGTATTAGCTGGAGTTTGAATAAGAATAACTTGTATTCTAATTTTTTTCTGATGTGGTTGAACTTTGAATAAAATTGGCACGCCCTTACTATGTTGACTCAGAAGAATACACATTATTTAAATGTAGCTTTTTTGGTTGAATTATTTTTGCCTCTGTTCTTAATTGACATTGGCACCATGTTATTAATGAATCAAAATTCCAGATCTTAACAGAATAAGAAAGTAGAGGAAAGAGAGTATGACAGCATAACTAGACTTATGAATTTCATCTATCTATTCCACACAGGATGTTTCCTTTCTCTTTATTGCAGAACAGCCAAGAGGAGCTGTGTCAGGAACACCGAGTGCTATTGTTACTCACAGAACTACTTTGACCACATTTTTTAGATATCTGATCTTTTATGGCCTTTGGCTATTGTTTGTGTTTAATAATACAAGGTGAGATAAAATCAGGTCGGCTACTATTTCTAGTCACAAATTGTCTTGATTTAAATTTCAGACCTGATAACTTTTATTGGATTATTTTAAGCCTTAAGAGAATAGTTCTTTTGTGGTATGACTCTACAATGTACTGACGGATTCCTGCAGCAGTCATATTTAGCTAATATTAACTCAGCACCTAGGGCATCAGGTATACAGACACTTGAGGATCCCAGGAGAAAATATTTAAATAAATAATAGCAGCAGTGTTACACAGACAAGAACAAAAGGACTGTGAAGGAATCCTCTTGGTGTGCCCCTGAAACAGAAAGTGGACCCAGTGTACGTTGAGCACAGTGAGCGGTGTTTGGAGGGGACCATGGGGGCCTCAGCAGGCAGTACCAAAGGAAGGAGTGTGTCGGCTATTTTTTGTTGGTTCGAGAGCCTTTGGAAGACTTAGAGCTGGGCAATGGCACGATCTGATGTGAATATTAAAAGGGCCACCCTAGATGCATTCTGGGAACTGTAGAATATGTGTTGGCCTCAAATGAGACATGAGAGATGAAGAGTATAGAGAGTATAAAGTGGTCCCTCACTTGGCCTGAAGGAGTAAGTGATTACCATTAAACAAGATGATTAATAGAGGGAGAAAACAGGCTAAAATGTGGAGGGGGGAAAGATGACAAATTAATATTTTGACAAAGAGAGTTTGACGTATCCGTTGGAAAAGCAAGCAAGGGGTGACATCAGGTATTAGACATGTGTTTCTGAAGGTGAGAGTAAGGTATTGGTTAGAATATACCAAGTGCATAGGTAATGGTGGACACCATGGACAAGGATGTGATCTCACAGGTCTGTGTCATGTCAGGAGGGGAGAAAGCGAGGTTCTCCTGTTGGGGGATATCAGTATGTTTGTGATGAACAGGTGTGTAGGAGTCAGAAAAGGAAAAGAGTGGCGAAAAAGTGAGTCCATTATTGAGAGATAGGGGATCAACAGATGCAGATTGTTAATCCTTAGCATAACTGTGGTAGCTAAACTGTAATACTTGAACTAACCAAGTGAGACAGGACAAAGTAAGATAAGCATATGTGGCAGATGCTCCCAAATGCTCCATTGCCAGCTAGCCGGTGAACTGGAATGAGGAACTTTGCTCTGGTAGTTAGACAGGCGTCAGGGGCTTTCATGTGAATGTCTTCTGTAGAGTGCTTGTGTGGTGAGGAGCAACTAAGGGCTGCAGATATCCACTGAGTACTGAATAATCTTTCTAGGAGTTTCCTGTTGAAAAAAGAATAGAAAAACATATAGTTTGAGAGGAAGGTAAGATGTGGGGAGTATTTGCAAGGGGCGAAGTAAGCCGAGGAAGGGGAGGCAGCAGGCAGAGAGGAGGAGGAGCCAGGGAAAAGGGAGACCAGTGATGATGCCAAATTCCACAGCAAGTGGCAAAGGAGGAAATGTAAAGTCTGTGTGGAAGTAATGCTGGAAAAGGGTGGTGGTACGTTTTCCTTTGTGCCTTGTCATGATGGGGTATGATTGCATGAAGATGTGGGTATTTCACAGTGGGTTACATAGAGATTGAAGGAATTAAAATTGATATAACAATTTCAAGTATTTGATAATATGATTGTGCTCATTTCCATGTGATTCTTTAATGGCTACATTATAATGGAAAGAAAAATTCAATCATAGTGTCTAGTAATAGATAAAGAACAAGCAAAAATAATTTCTCAAGTAACATGGACTGAAAGAGTACATATTTAAGAAAAATATGAACTTGTACTTTGAACAACTTATTAACACAATTATCGAGAGATTGTGATTTATATTTATTCTGAGTTTTAAAGTCACGGCTATCTTCCCTTAACAAGCTTGAGACTAAACTCATCCTGGAAAACAGACCTTAGTTTGTAGGAGCTTGTTCAGCACGATATTTAACCTCATCTAAAGATGAAGTTACCAGTATGGGCAACACCTGTTAAGTAATTTCTAGGTGGGTGGTATCAGGATTCAAAATATATGCTGCATGCCACAACTTTGGTGAGATTACATGAGGAAATAAATTGGTAAACTATAAATACCAGGAATGTCCAGAATGCCCAGTGGATTAAAAATAGCAGGAGAAAATGCCCAACATTTCTTTGAAAGGCACAGGCACAAGTGCAAGGTTCTTAGACAAAAATGTAAAGCACGCAGGGGAAAAGCTGTTTTGAAGACAAATTTTTCTTTATTTTAAAATAGACCATTATATTTAAGGAGCTTCACACATGCAGAGAGGGATTAGGAAATTTAACTATGTGAAATAGTTGCAAACCAAGTATTGGATTATGTGTTTTAGCTCAGGATCTGGCATATATGGTCGCAGACGGTCCTTCCTCTTTGCCTCTTGCACTCCTTACCTCGCCCTGGTTGCTCATTGTTTTCAGCCATGACCTTCGACCTTGTTTGCTGTCACATCATGTTACTGAAATCTTACTGATATGAGAATTTTGGAATTCTTCTGCCTCTTTTCTCTTTTATTTCTACAAGATGGAAGATTAGGATCCTGTCTTACCTTAATTCTCTGATTTCATGAACCACAAGGTCGTGACTTCTGGACTAGTTACTGTATGGTTTTCATAGGCA